CTGTCAAACTGCTCCAGAAACCGTGCACCATTATCAATGAACTGTCTCAAGCTCTCAAGCACACCCATGTATGTATGCTTCGTCCTTTTAATTGCAGGCTCTCCGCAGTCCCTTCATTATACGCCTGCCAATGTCCAACAGCCGGGAGTGCGCAGACGCAACACCATGTATGCTTTGTCCTTTTGGTCGCAGGTTCTCCAGAGTCCCTGCATTATACTCCTGCCAATGTCCAACAGCCGAGGGTGCGCAGACGCAACACTCTCCATCTTTTCCCTCTGTCGGGCAGCCAACTGAAGAACAAATCCCAGCAGTTGCAGGGCAGCGCCCACGAATGCCACAGCTCCCCCCAACCCCTTGCTGAGCAGAACAGTCGTCTGAAGAGCATTCACAGCCACACCCACGTCCAGAACAGCTCGTTGGGCTTTTCCAGATTCACCCGAACTACCGATCTTGCCCGATCTGCAGCGCGTGTATCATACAGACCACACTTGCAGCCGCAACTCCAGAATATGCACTCATTCGGCGCCCGTCTCCTGGGAGGCCGCCATAAACTTTTGCTGCTTTCCCTTATGCTTGACCACCCATTTGCGGTCGCAAGGTGTACTCCACCTTCGTATCCTCACGCACCAGCCCGATGTGTTTGGACCCATGCCACGCCTTCCTCTCTGAGGGCCATTCTTCTTTGTGCCCTGCCTTTTTTCGCCACAAGTCGAACTGGGCAATCAGGAAGATATCAATCCATCATTTTTGTCCCTTAGACCATTTTTTTATCCTCTCAGCAACGGGAACCAAAGGTCGAATGGTGGCTGCTCGCTGATTGTGCCGCCAGCCTGCGCCTGTGCATGTCCACACACCAATCGATAGGAAGACAGCCAAAGGGAACGTGTGATACCATCACCTCCAAATGCATCAAAAGTTACGGCAGTACAGCTACAGGCAGGGTACCAATAATCGCCCATATGATTAAGACGTAAAATCCGGAGGCAGGCCACTTCGGACACATGCGCAGTATCCGGCAGTGAGCGGACTTGCTCCCACAGCGCCAGATGTTGAATGTGCCTAGCGAAGAATTCGGCCGACCACGACCAGAACGCAAACCTGCATATCCATGACTTGGCGTTGCCCTGGACAACCTCCAGGTTCTCCCGGCGCACAGATGCCGTCTCTATCTCGCAAGATCGCGGCAGTTCCCCCAAAATCGTCGCGCCTAAATTTCCATGTCAGATCCTGACCGGTCAAGCTGCACATTCGCGCAACTCCGGAAACCCGGAGAAGGTTGTCTTTCCGACAAAAAGAAGCCCGTCCTACAATGCGAGGTCCCACTCTACTGAGCAACGACTGAACGACGAGATTTTCTTCCATGCTGCAGCAGCTCGTGCTGGCCATGCCGTGCGCCACGGAAGGAAAAGCACCCCGTCGACACTCCGTAACCTGATCCCATGGCAATCCACGACCAACGGAGGCGATCAATGCAGCCCTCCTCCACGAGTCCAAAGCCACAGCACTCTCCTGGAAGCTGGTCGGTCACCATGTTGAGCAACCCCTCCTCCGGCCAGCCTCGCAGGGGGGCGGTCCACCCTTCCGGGACCCCGAGGACCGGGCTGCATGCCGGGTTGCCTGCGCCTGGACGTCTCCTGAACTGGATACACCACCCACAGCCTCCGCAGCCAGCAGCGGAGAGACGACACAGAAAGGGTGGCGGCCATCCAAAGACACGCCGGGGAGGCAAGTGGTGGTCGTACGCTGAACTGCTGCCCTTTAAGAAGTTAAGGCACCCGACTGACTGCAACGTGATTGCGGCTGGCGCACATGTGTGCCCGAGTGGCACCGATATGTCCCGGAAACGTATCAACTTCCTGCTGGACAGACATTTGTGGTCGGCGAAAGGTCCTGACCCCCCGAAGCATCAAGAAGAGGGCCCACCGAATCCAACAGCGAATATGACAAAACGGAGCAGGAATCCTGGGGTTCCAGATGAAAGAACCTGTTGTGAGAGTTCCCACTCAAACAAGGTCACATCAGTTGAGGTGCAATGTTTTCAACGGATGAACAAATTTGTAGATCTGAGAACATGCGTGAAGATGTTCACATTGCCAGCATTTTCTCTATCCAGTCCTCGAGGACTCGCCGCTGGTGCAGACACATGAAGGCAGTATAAAGATGAAAACAATTTCTGTCATCGTCGCCACCAATGTCCTTGAGGGTTGTTTGTTCCCACGACTTCATTGTTGGGTTCATTTTCTGGAGTGCGAGGCGCAGCAGCGACCTCAAGCAAGTCAATCCATTCCGGATTTTTCAAGGCGATTGTGTCCATTACGTCACTTAGATCCAGAACATGACATACATCCCTCCGCTATTGCCGTGCCTGCGATGGCATTCGAGGAAGCCAATAAAGTCTATTTTGACACAGCAATGCACAAACACTTCCTGTTTCTGTCTCCGCTAACAAACTGCAGGGAATTCATGCTTTTAATGTGATAGCATGGACGAGCGCTTCGCGAGAATGATCAAATCGTGGACATTGCTTAACTCGGGAGAAATAGGAACTTGCTGTTTTTAGGAACGTCCTATTAGGAACCTGACGGCTACTTTCCTGCCTTGTTGTGTAGAAATCGATGACGATGAAAGGTTCCACTGCCGGATTAGATGGTGGCCAATGGGAACTCAGTACTGGGCGCTGTAGTTCAGTGAGTGGGGTTGCCATGTCTGGAATGACTGAAATTTCATGAGGTAGAGGTGTAAATCGAGCGGATTGTGCGAGGAACTCGGGGACTGGCCAACTTTTCGTTGGGAATGAATTAGGCCGAGTGCACCCAAATGGATAATGGGTGGCGCAGCAGCAGCGAACCAACTGTACTGGTGATCTGCAATAACTAAATGCTAAATCATTTTCTGGGATTCCAAACTGGGATAGCTATCGCAAAAGTGACTGCACATGATGGTTGTCACCTCTAATACATTGCCGCGGTATTCCAAGTTGCAATCCCACCACTATAGCCGGGCCAGTTCAATCATCAGGCCGTTTGGAAGCAGAGTCGCTGAACCATCTTTCTTTAAGAGTAAGAGCAGAATTTAACATTCGATTGTTAGTTCCTGACGAAGGCAGGCAGGATCAAGGGGTGGCGATCCCTGAACGGAAATTGCACGCTCGAGTCCACGGCAACGGTTTACAGCCAATGCAAAAGGACAACAGGGGTCCTGTCCTTTACATTCAGTCCGTTCATCAACGTCTTTAATGCAATTCCCAGTGCTTCATCATCTTTTCATGCATTCAGTTGTTATTAACACCCAACCAGTTCTGGCTGCAACAGTTCCTTTAACTTCACTTGTTGAATTAGCCAACGAACAGATTCACTGTCGACATTTCAGGGCTCAATGACCCGCTTCATGAACCAGCGGATCAATTGGTGCCGCGGATGAGATCTTTTAGCTCTTTCACAGCCATGCCTACAATTGTGTGTCGAGGTAGCTTGAGTGTTTGCTGCCATAGAATTCCTAATCACTTTGCGCATCTGTCCACTATCATCTTTCCGAAAAAAGCGTCTTTTACTGTAATTCTATCGACATTACCTGCCTTTGGAAATTAGAAAGTGGCTTATTGTTGAGTTCACTCATGCAGTACGTACCGCGCCATGGTGCCCACAATATCAAAATGATTTCAACGAACAAAGAAAGGCATTGATTTTATCATGCAAAGTAGGGAACGAATGGCTACATCCTTGCCTTGATACGCAATACACATTGAACAAATATTGCAATGAGCCGGACAGAAGCTTTTAAATCTTGCCGGCAGCATGTTAGCCCCTTGCAATCCGGATTCCCCCCCTGGGATCACCAAAGTTGAATGGTGGAGAAGTCGCCTGCGGCTATTTTTTATGCATTTGAACACGGGATGCTATTCGCTGCGGCAGCCATTTATTCGTTCCAGCGTGGTCCTCTGAGTTCCGCCTTGCCGTCTTCAGCCCTTTTCAGCGATGTTTTGGGTCCCTGTGACCGCTGCTCTTATCTTCACCCCACGGGTCGCCAGCTTTTGCTCCTTGCTCTTACAGAGCGAGTAGCAAAAATTGGAGACCCGTGAGGTGAAGGACAACCTGGCGCACATTCCGTCAAAATAAAGTACAAAATACAGATAGCATAGAAAAGGACTGCATCGCAGCGATAATGTAAAGCAGCAGATAACATTGGCTGCCCGACAAAATGCCTCATTTTTAGTTCCAGTACGCTTGAATCGGGCTGGTATTTCAACCACAACTCTGGTGGTGTCCCTCCCCCCCCAATTTTGACTCTTCAAAAACCTGTCTCCGTCATTGTTGTTCATGACGCAGTCGGCAGTGACACTATCAGATATTCAAGGAGAACTACCCTAGTACAAAGCTGCGATGCGGACATGTGAAAACTAACTGGACGGGTGTTCTCAGCCATACTTAGGTTCAGAACGCCTTTCCGAAATAAAAACTACTCCGTAGCTTGGCTTTCACCCCATTCCTCTTGTGTTCCTGTTTGATACATTTATATGTCCAAATACGAGGTATGGCAAGACTCTCGTGCCGCTCCATGCTGATGTTACGAAGTCAAACTGTTTCTTCACGGTGAACGAAAGCAAGTGGTGGGAAATGCACAGCTTATGGCGGGTGTCCTGCATTACTGACGAGTGCTTGACTTTCTGGGCGCCCTGCGGCCGAAGTATGGCAGCTCTTAGCACATGCACATCTCGCAGTGCTCCACATGTAGGAAGCAACGCCATTTCTTGAACTGTTTACAAGCATTGATATGCCGCCTTTCCAGCCAGGTTTCCGGAAGGCCTGGAATGGATGTCCTATTTTAGGTCTGGAGTTAGTGCCCTGGGCGTTCAGATTAGCCGCCGGCTTGAGCATGTCGCGCATTGTTACACATAATGCGTAGCGCGTTTAGTAGTTTACATGCGTTGCCTGCCTGACACCGCCTAACAGCTGCATGGGGGCGTGCTGTCGCATTCAAGGAATGTGCCATCCATGCAGACTTCAAGAAAGACGAATGGGTCCCGTAAGCAACTCAGGGACAACTGAAGCATCGAAATTTGCAGCGTCGTATTCTTGAGACGTCTCCAGAGCCAGCAATTCGGCCTTCGTGTAGCGAAATCTGCGCACCCCATCCTCAGAGATTCGGGCAGCCTCGCCTGGCCTCATCTCTGAATCGTCTCTGTCTCCAACACCTGCAGCTGAAGGCGAGTGCTCCCCAGCGGGATCGCCCATTCCCGGTACGTCCACGTGGACACGCTGTGGCGGGCTTGGGGGTGCCTGCGTCGGCCAGGGATCGATTTGAATGTGGGCGATCCCTTCGGCCATCTCAGACGCTTTGTCGACATCGCCCGCAACGTGGTGCAGGAAGCAGAGGCACATGTGGTGGGCCATGGCGACCAAACCCTGCCCAACACCGACACACAGTATTCAGCAACTGGTTGGGCACGCTGGTGAAAATTGCCACCAAAAAACGTTTGCAAATTTAGCGACATACAATTTGGTTCATTTTCAATGCCGTTCACACCAGTGATGGACGTTTATAACAATTTCAACCAGCTTGTTAGCTGATTGGCTAGTTCTTCGTAACAGTCAGCAACTGGAGATGCTGCCTAAGCAGTCACCCAAAAGGCATCTACAGCAGGTTACCACACCTGCAATAGCTACCAGATGAATAGACTGGCAACTGCAAGTCAGTTGATGCTGCAGCTTCTTATCAATGTTTGCGTAGCGCCAGCAGGTATCTCCACAAACTTCTCTAAAGCCCCAGCAACAGCATCGACAGGATTGCTGCATAACTAAAACAAAGTGCTGCTGGTGGAAACAGCATATCACAACCAACTTACCTTGTTTTCATCCACAATCTGTGGGTCAATATCGTGCAGGTCCTCAGCAGCACACTTCGCATCGCTCACCCCTTGGGGGCTGTCAACAGACCCTGACTGGCAAAGCGACCAAATGGGCTGGACAGCAGCTTCAATGCTAACCACCGATGCCAGCTCCTCTATCATAGTCTGTATCTCTGAGCCGGCATCTTTCCATCTGTCCTTGAGCCACTCCACAACCCCAGAAAGGAAACTCAGGCCCACCATCCTGCCACCCCCCCAGCCTTCCAAAATTTCTGTCGCCACGTCCACGTGCAGGCACCCAAGGCTCTCAAGGACCCCTCTCACCACTGCATCCCAGCACTCCTCGATGCCGTGCACGCCAGCTCCTCTGCACTGCACTGCTACCCTGGCAGCAGATGCCCAACCGTCAGCTCCCCCACTTCTCCCAAGGGCCCTCACGGCCTTGATGGGCTGGCCAGCCATGAGCCAGCTGGCCGCAGCCAGGGCGTGGCTCCCTCTCTTTGCCTGCTGCTCTGCATGCACCTCATGCAGCTCCCTCAAAAGTGGGTCTTGTGGGAGCAGCCTCAGTGATCCAAGGTTCACAGCATCATCGATCATCCCTGCCCTTCTGTACGTCTCGATGGCGCCCCTCACATCGTTGATGGACAACAAGTGCAGGGCACACATGTGGGGCTCTCCAGAGGCCTCCAGACGCTTGGCATGGGACCGCACGGAGGCCTCCCAAAGCGCCCGGCCCCCTGCCACAGACATGCTAAGGAAGTCTCCTGAGAGGGCATCCCCGTCAGCAAGGACATCCATGGCCCCAGCGATGTCTCCCCTCCAGATGCATAGAGCAGCTTGATGCTCTGCTGTTTTCGAGTCGATGGGCTCTTCCAGGGTTCCGCTCACCTCAGCATGCTGCCAGAGGCCCGAAGACATCCCCAATGGCAATGGAGTGCCCAGTGCTGCCTGCAAATCGTTTGCTGCATCAACACCACACCCTGAAGGTGCGATCTGTGGCTGCTGCACTTGTCCTACCAAGTCCACACAGGAGGCCAGCAACTGCTCTCTGTGTCCATGTTCCAGTAGTTTGTCTGAGGCTATGAGAGGTTTTGTTCCCAGGGAAGACGACTTGCGTCGTTTAGACCCAGCATGTTTCCCAGGAGCCTTCTTGTGACTGGCCCGTTGTCCTGTAGCTTCACCGAGACATGCATGCACCAGGGTGGGCGCAACTCCGGCTTTGCCATCTGCACATCGGCTTGCCTCCCCTCCATCTTTGCCCACAGCACTGTCTCCTGGACAAAGCGGATCTGCCCCAGCCAAGTTGACATTCTGAGACACAGCACCCTCCTCAGATGCCTGTTCTGCACAAGGCCTCATACATTGAGCTGGCACATGTCTCTTGTGAGGGTCCATACTCACAGAAGGATCTGCATCCAAGCCCTTCTTGCTGTTCTCAAGCAACGAGCCACTCTCTGCGGATGCCTGCTGTTCTGCCACCTCCCCAGCAGCCCCAGCTTTGCCTCCATTTCGCTTCACTTGCGACACAAAAGAGGTAGCCGCAGGAACCTGTGGGATGACAGGAAGAGGAGCCACTTCAGGCCCACACAAAGCACTCACAGACTCCAGATGTGGTTGGGCATCCGAAGCAGACCCCACCGCAGCATGCATGCGCCACCTTGAGATCCACCTGCTCCCCTTGTGAATCATGACCTGATCCGGTGCACCAGCTGGGGATGAAATGTGCTGGCATCCCCAATGCGAGGTCTCATGCCCACAAAGCACACATGCCACCAGCATCGATGCCCCATCTCCAGACACCCTCCACATTTGCATCTGCCCCTTCTGCGTGAGGCAGTGCAGCACATTGGGAGAAGACGTTGACCACACAACGTGGCTCATCTTGTGGCCTTCCAACCTGCAAACGGCAATGCCTGCAGTGCGCCAATCACCTCCGTTCGAGGTCACTGTTCTATCCTGCTCCACACGGCCGTTGCTCCAATGATGTGCTGGAAAGCAGATTGCCATTGCTGTACCATCTTCATGCCGCACTGCAAGCAGTGTATCGCACTGTCTCAATGCCAGCTGGCTCCAGCAGACTGTGTGCACCGGTTGGCTGTTGTGCTGGCATGCATGGATCAGATCGAAGTGCACGCGTGGGCCTATTTGAGTCGGGGCTGTGTAGATAGAGACACGTCCATCTGTGAAGCCCACAGCCAGCTGCATTCCCGAGCTGTCCCAATCAAATGCTGAGCAGCATGCTGCAGGGCCCAGGGTGCCCTCTGCCAAGTGCAGCATAATCTGTACATTGCAGACACATGCAGGAATCAGGTCATCCATTACACAAGCAACCTTCATGGACAGCCTTAAGCACTCTGTTCCCACACCCGTGTCTGCGAAATTAGCTGCTCAGTCAACAGTGAATCATAAGCATTTGCAACAGTGCTATGTGTGTCGTTTTGAGGCTGTAATGGAAAGGTTGTTCCTCAATTCGATGAAGTCCATCAGATGTTTGACAGCATACGCACATGAGTTTCAAGCCAAACGTAGCATGGAGTCTGATTTGTATCCAACTTCTGTTGTTTTGTTCTCAATTTTGGATCATGGACGAGCCGGAAAGTACATCTGGGTGCAAGAACAGCAAAGGCTTGACATGCAGGCTGGGTCTGCTTCAAAAGCAATCTTCAACTTTGCCGCGTGAGTCTTACACTGTTTTTAGCATCCAACAGTGTTTCCACTGTGCCCAAACACAACCATCTGAACCACTCATGTCTTGAAACTCTCCTTCATATGGCAAACTGTCTTCCAACAAATTATTTATTATTATTCAATTGCATTATTATTATTATTCAAATGCAACCTCAAACCCAATCAAACCCACATCCAGTGCAACAGACCAGGCCCGACGACAAAAACAACCATACAACTGGAGAGCAGTGGCATTCATACTGGGCTCAAATGAACTGGCCAAGATTCTAGCACATGAACAGCACAGGTTGCAGGGCTGCAACACTGACAAATGTGGTGTCCAACGTCTGTAGCCCCCACATACGTCTGTTGGGGTTTGCTTGAAGGGAACCGCACTCCGGGCACTCCCTTGACTGCCCCTCCTGGCCTCACCGGCTGAGCTAAAGTGCTCTTGGTCCACAGCGGGCCACTTCAGGAGGCACCCCTCTCGCCCAAGGCTATATAGCTCCACACTCTCGTTGTGCAGAACTGATACACCACACACAAATGCATCACTAGAGGACATCATGGACACCGTCCAGGGATGGGCTCAAGGTCCTCAGACCTGGTAGACAACTGACCGCACAGACTGGAGACGAAACATCTCTGTTCCTCACATTCCATGGAAATCCTTTCTCTGCCAGCCAATTGTTGGTGCTTTGTGCTCATGGGCTGCGAACGAGGAAAGTGCAACACGTAATATATGCAGAAGTGAACAATACCAGTCGTCACCAGCTGTGTGCATGGGTATTGCCTTAACATATTTGACGGATGGTGTCCAAGCAGTTACAAATTTTGGTGCACACATGCCACAAAATGAAAGCACCGCAGTGCACTATGCGATCATGCCAGCCTGCCAACTGTTGGGAGCGATGTTGCAGCCAGAGGCGAAACTGAGTTAGTACATTTTGTCGGCATGCACCAAATCAGTGTTCTGCCATAGTTGCAAACTTATGGATCAGCGAGCTTCTGAGATACTCGCTTGCGATTTCGTGCCCATGTGATGCCTTGTTGCTCAGGGCTGCACTATTTCCAGATATATTTTATACACGCAGGGAGACACACATGTGTCAGCCAGAGAGTTCTCACTTCGCAGATATGAAATATGGCAGCTGAAGCAAGACACAAACAAATGACATTGTGATCTACTCCGAGCCAATCAGGAAGGTTCTCTGCACAGAAACTTCAGAATAGAGGGTGAACCTGCATGTCTGAAAGCGCCAACAGACAATGGAGTCAGCTTCCAGTCAGTTTCCAGTGCTGCTTTTTTGGAGGACACCAATGCAGCTGTCACTGGGCCACAGCCATCAGCTGCTGGCACATCCATCCCACACTTCCACAAAACAGTGACTACTCTCTGGCCCCACCTGAGTCTGGGTGTCCTTCTGGAGAACCTGGGACACATCTCCAGGAGAGTTGAGTCACTGGCCCCTTGTGACGGTCAGGGAACACAAAGTCCATGTCCCGTGGGGATCTGAGGAGGCCAATGTGCCCATCTTCGCAGCCAAATGCCAATGTGCCTGCAGCGAACCACACACAACGTGACCAAGCACATGCACAAATGCTGCTATTGCTCAAGACGCCCAGGAATTTGCAGGACAAAAGTCAGCAGCCAATGCCATCAACAATTGCAGGCACCAGGCAGCTTCTGGAAGACTTGCCACAAGTGAACTTTGCAAATGAATACCTGCAGATGTGAACAACAACCAACCTCGCCTGATGGGTGCATGGACACCAGACAATCGAGTAGGACATTATTGAAGAACGTTATTGCAACAATTCTATGCAAGCCAAAACAGGCTGTCTGCTACTCACCAGGCCTGCTTGGGTGCCAACAGACGGCCACAACCTTGTCTGGAATGTTGTTCCAGCGCACTGTGGCATCCCCCTGCCGTTGATCCTGTGGCTGCAAGGGCAGCAATCTGTATGGCCCCAGCAAAGCAAAGGAAGATCAAATGGGCATCCTGAAATGCGAATTGTTTCACAACGATGACACAAGAACAAGAAAGTGAGGCAGGCCCTTGGCTTCACACACATCCGCAGGGAAGACATCATATGCTGGCCATCTCTTCAGCAACACAAGGACACTAATCGTTATTTCCGCGCACTCTGCACAGCCAGCTACTGGTGGATAATGTTGGCGAGGGCTGGCCGTGCAAGATGAGAGCACATATGTACACACATAAAGTATTCACACGCAATCGTTAACCATGAACTCTCTGTGTTTGCCTGTTGCATAAATGCTAGTGCCTCCCTGTCAACTACCCTCGTCCCACCTTCTAGGCCAGAATCAAAGTTAGAATCGTCTTACACATGTGGACCACCTCAACAAACGTTAAACAACCGATTGAGTATGGGACAAGTGCCCTTCCTTGTCCTGCAAATGCCCTGACATCTTTTGCCACCCAAAAATGTATCAGAGCGGAAATACACACAGTATCTGGTTTAGGTTGGCCACAACATAGGCTTCCTTTCAGGGATCTGCTTGCACGATTTAACACAATTTGTTGATGCTCCACGCAATCTGATGAACAGCAGCAGCATACCTGATAGTCTTGTCCCCACACCCAGCAGCAAGTGCCAGTGCCCCACAGCTGGAAACGTCAATGGCCATTACATCGCCTCCCAGACCCACGCAGCTCCACCTCACCCTGAAATTTCGCCACGTTGTGTCCATGATGCTCACCGATGGCTTCGCAGGGCCCCACACTGCCAGGAGCCTGTCCAGTCCCGACGTTACCATCGCGAGTTCCCGGGCACCCGGAGCCAGGATGAAGTCGAGAGTGAAGACAGTCCTGTGGTGCACAGCAGGGAGGCTCAAGGGTTTCGAGGGCCTGGGCCCTGAGCCACAACATCAGAAGAAAGACAGGCCTTAGATGCAATGAACATGAAAGAGTGCAATGATTGAAGTCCATCCACCCACCAATGGACGGTGTGCCGAGCACGCTTCAGTTGCTATGTTCAGGCAATATGTCTCAGGCCTACATTCGTGACATTTTCTACTTGAACGCAGTGTTTTAAATCGAATGAGGAACATAGCGCCAAGTGAAATCATACAATGCACCTGTTGTTACAGTTTTTATCAATCTGTAGTCCACAACAATGCAGAGAGTGTCAGAGTATCAGAGTATCAGTGTCTGTGGCAACATCATTCTGGTTAATGCATTCCCCATTGAGTTGAGGCCGTCTGAAGGATGGTCCCCATGTTGGATTGAGCCAGTGCTTAACCCAAGGTCGAATATGCACAGGAATAAGGAACAAACACAACATGCCCAATGGTAATTAAATGCGCCTAAGAGGGCCAGCAGAGACGTTTCATTTGTTATCCAACTGGCCTGCTGCCTGTAAGGTGACTAAAAAAGCTACAAAACAAGCTGAGTCACTATCACCTAGCCAGTTCCTTTGTTGTGAGTCGAGTGGAGAAGAAACAGGTATGGAAACTGAAACACCACCCACTTCCCCATCACTGTGCAGAGCGTCCTGAGCAAAAGCCATCACACTTTTGATCAACAGGCACCAGAGCAACAATATCATTTGAACAGTTTTCCAAGGTTAGCATCACTTTCCACTGTCTTGTGAGATGGCCCAAGGCCCATATCTATTCAGTCAAGACAGCGGCATCTAGATTTTGAGTGTGATGTAATATTTAGGACAGGGAAGCGAGGTACTGCACTCAGGACTGCCAGCTCCATACCATCAGCCAAAAGCAGCCTCCAGGCATAGAGGCGGCCCCCCATGCCACCAGCGACGATCCAAATGACGTCACTGCCCACACCGCTGCCAACAGGACACACCCTTGCAATTACAAATGGATGCCTCCTCTGAGAATCTGAAAGACGGCCACCTGGGACAGGGACATCGAGAACAGTACCCTTGAGGTGCGGGTTAGGGGCCTGCAAGTCAGAGTGAGGGGGAAGGTACCACACCCTCACACGATGATCCTGGCAGCCTTGCGCAGGAAAGCACAAAACAGGTTAGCAGTGGGCCTCCAGCTGAATGAAAGGAACCAGGGTCAGCAGATTGTTGAGCTTCATCAATTCATCAAATGCCCTGGTACGCAAAGACACAAATGGGGTCTAGTATGGGCATTGCATCTGGTTCAAATGCGAAGGTGAGTGTTGGTCTGAGCGCATTTAGCCCCAGCAAGTTCTTTGCAGCTCGGAGCTCCAGACTTTATGGGTGAGAGCACAAGGGCCGGGTGTGGGTTCACATTGCAGGAGAAGGTATGTGAATGGATAGAAGTAGTAGCCAGCCGTCTTGCAGTTTGGGACCACCACTGTACTACAAAGCTCACAGCCTTTGTTCTTCCCACCAAAATTAATGAAGCAGTGGGAGAGGAAGCAGATAACTGCTGGGGCACAACATGTGGGCAAGATTTTCTGCTTTCTAATGCACACAGAGTTGGAGACAACCAACGACTCGCATCTTGAGAGTAGTGTCAGCTGCAACGCTTGTTAGGACACTACAACAGAGCCAAATACTGAACTTCCCTGTGCTGGCAATGGCAATCGCTTGCAGCGAGTTGTACGCCAGCATGTAGGAGCACCAGAACAGTGAAAATCAGTGAAAGCAGAGCTCACAGCACAACCATGGGCTACAGCCCATCAGCTCTTGCATCCAGCAGGTTCATGTATACATACGATCCCCTTGCAACTGCACAACTCTAGCCCTATGGAGAACGCACCTGCTACGAGCACACTGCACCTCCCAGTGACCTTCCCCTCTGCATCAGAGACAGCAGTTCCCACAAGGAGCCTGCAGCCGACACGCTGTGAAGTCCCTTCGATTGAAAAGACCAGTGTCACGTGGGGGAAAGCCAGTGCAGCTTTGAGCTCTCCATGTGCACCTGACGCCACATCATCAGCAGGCCCAGCATCGCCCGTGCCTGACTGATCTCCAGATGCACCTGCAGGCACTTTGGCTCCGTATCCATGCCCTCTTGTGTCTGTCATGGCACAGTTCAGATGTTCCTCTGCGGATAACTTTTCCACATCCCCAGAACTGCCTTCTTTGGGAGAGCAAAGGTTCCCGCCAGCCTCTTGCATGGCCTCTGTACCGACATCGACCTCCTTCACACTGCTGGATGTGCAAGGCTCCTGGCTGTCCAACCCACCAGGCTTTGCTCCAGATGCACTTCCAGAAACAATTGGCCTTAGGCCCCCAGTCCCACTTGACCGCCGAGAATCCTTGGCGCATCTGGCATGGAAGGGGCTGTGCTTTGGGTGTGGTCCCTTCGACCAATGCAAGGACTGCACTGGGCCATGGGACCTGTCCAGACAGCGTAACCAGATATCCGCATCGACATCCACAAGGACAACAGTGCCGTCCTCACAGCCGACAGCCACCTGTACAAGGGGGTGGGTGTGATCAGGATGGCCACCAGTGGACTTGTGCAAGGCAGTGTGAGCCAGCATTGATGGGCACGATGAACAGTTCACTGCAGTTCGCATGTTCACTGTTGGCAGACGCTCTCACACACGTGACTGTATGTGGAGGAGATGTCTACCACCAGAAGCCAAAACAAGAAATGTGGCTGCTGACTCAAAGTCTGTCTTTGTGGATTCCTAACAGGGGAATTGAGCTCTGTATCGGGACATCACAGGTTTTGGATAGCAGGCCGACCTGCACCAGAACACTTGGACAGAAGACGACTTCATGCCAGAAGGAAGGAGGTGCCAAACTTTTTCGTTTAAGTGAATATTCCCAGAGAATCTATGTGTTAGTTCACCAGCATGCTGTCATTAAGCGCAGTTCTGATCAAAAGAAACTGCCAATTGCCAGTGAACCCAGCGGCTCCTAAAGAGCATTATAATGGTATGCCTGCTTTGTGTCCTGTTTCACAAGTGCATGGCACATCCACGCAAACAATTGTGGCACCCTTTGCCCTCTCTCATATGTGGACAGATGGCCATAAATGCAGTGATCCACCTCATTGGGTATCGCCAAACAAAGTTCGTTTCACAGTTCCAGAGCATGACACCCTTATACTCGTTCAACTGCTGAAAGATTGCAGTACCATGCATATGGACGTCTGCTCTGAATGGGAAGATACAATGAGATGTGGCTGCTAAAATATACGTCGCAAACAATTCAGGCAGCAGTTGGCCACCATTTGGTATCATACTGCACTGTTTTCCAGCGGACAGCAGCAACAACAAGGGACTTGCTAGAAACACCTTGACTGTGCCACCGCACCTGCGGTTTGCCTTCTGGGCAGGCAGCAATGGTCATCACACTTGACCCACACTTAGTTTGGAGCAGCTCAGGCTTCCCCCCTGCAACAGGACAACCACATAGAGCCACATACATCCATAAGACCAGCTCCACAGCAGGACCTGTGCCGATGAAGCCTAGCTAGTTGCACGTCAGCAGCACACATAAGCCATCGCCTAGCAGGTGGAGGGTGGAATTCGCCACGTTTCTTCCAACCCTACAAGAACTGCTCTGGACTAGGGTACCTGTGTGTCTATGTGGTGTGCGCAGCTGTGCACACACCAAGTGTGTGGCAGGACACGGACATGGACATGGACAGGACACCACCAAACACCTTTGCTTCCCCATGGATGGATTCTAAAAGAGGGCTGTGATTTACTCGTTGTGCTATCTGCCATGGAGAGGAAAACATGTTGGGCTGGCACAGACTTATGCAAATGGGGGGACTGTGCTTAGACTTGGCACCACTGTATGTTGATACAGCAATTTAGAGCAGCAACAGGCAAGATTGCACAGCTAGCAATCTCTTCGCAGTTGCATAAATAGGGTGGGGAAGAGAAAACATGCCCGACAACCTGTTTTCATGAGGGGGACTTCGATAACAGCATCAGGACCAGCAATGGACACAATCAGAGTTACTCCTGGGTAAAGCCATACCCACACCTTGTGTGCATACATTGTCCAGCTTGTGATATTCATCATTTTCATGTTTATTACTGCAGTTGGAGAAATCCATACCATGTAAATATTTGCACCAGAATTTAGGAAAGCTAGCTCATATCAGAGATGCCTTTCATGCGTCATGTTTCACTCTTTCTTCACAACAGCAATTATCATATTACACAACAGATCAAGCCCCAGCAAACACGCATGGAGAGCAGGGGCACAACATCCAGCACATAACAACTGCTTCTATTTCAAATTCTGCCATGTTTTTGACCGTTTGGGTCCCATCCCAGTCCTGGAAAAGATAATCTGGAGGTCTTCATCTTGTATCGATGCAAAGCTACACAACTCCCACAATGGTTGCAGCCAAGATGACCAAGGAAAATAGAAGACCATTCCGTTCAACAATCTGAAAACCCTTCAAACCAGAAGTGTGATACATATGTAAATGGAACAAAGAGGCACACAGATGATGCATTGTGTCCCACATGTTGTCCACCCACCTGTTTCAAATGGCCACAGTGTCAAACTTCCACCTACGTCCCCAGCGACAGCCACTTCTGGGATTCTGTGCAGATGCAAACAAATGTTGACAAAAGCACTTTGTGCAGACTCCAGGAAGAAACCAATCCAGTTTGCCTGAAGTGTTCTCAACTCACAACAAGCTAATTACAACAGAACACTGGCCGGTGTTGGTGCCCATAGGAGTTCAGCATCACCTGCAAGTGCTGCGGTTTATGTTGGTGCTACGCCCTGTTAAGGATTTCACTGCATTGATGTTGCATTTTTTATACGCTGAATACTGGTTTGGCGACACGTAGCATCTTGTTGCTGCCTTGAGCCAGATTTCCGATATATCAACTGCCAGGCACCCTCTAAAGGGGACAGCACTGTACACTTGAACTGCAAGGGAGAAGAGCTGGAATTTGGGGGATGTGCACGTGCAGAAAGGAAGAAAAGGCAAGCAAAAGCAGAGTCAAAGTGAGATAAAAATTGTTAAACAGATGAGTCGCAAGCACAAAAATGAGGATAAAACATGAGGATAAAACACCTCTCTGCACAAGAGCTATGCATTACTGACTACAGCCTGGAAAAAAGTCTTGTAAACAACTATTGTTTGGCAGGCAGTTGTCCTTTGACTGACATATATTCATTTCTTCTTAACATGATCAATGGATCTTTGACTTGCAGACATCATACCTGGCCAAAGTCACCAGGGCGGTGCACTCTGCGGGCCGCTTGTGCACCGTCCTGATGCACTCGCCACTCGGAACAGACCACAGTCGCAGGGAACGGTCTTGAGAGCTAGTGACAAGGCAGCCATCAAGCCCAAAGCACACAGCTGATACCCTGAGTGCACAACAGATTGCTGTCCCTTAAATCAAAGCTCACTCCCTTTCTATGCTATATTGACTGTCTGGACAACAAACTCCATGCCACTGCACGAAAGCTTGCCCCAGCATGTTGCTGATGTGTGACAGAGCCACATTCAGCACCATTTCAAGCCAAGTGGGTACATGGACTAGTACTCAGTATTTTGGCCTTGGCCCCAATTTGCCTGAAAGGGTGGCAATAATTCCCAGCAATTTAGAATCCATGTCATTCGACACAATAACCTTCAGATGCATACAAGCCCCACTCCCTTACCTCTTTGAGTGCCCGAGGAGGATGCCTTGGACCTTGCGATGGGTGGGTTGGAAGAGGACTACTGTGTTGCCAGCAGCGTAAGCGATGAACTTTCCATCGCAGGACACGCTCGTTGCATGGGAATTGTACCTAAGACACAAAAGTCACAAAATCATGACATTGTGATCCAGAGACACACTTTTCAGACAACCAGTCGGAACCCATATTTTGATATTGCTTGGACAACAAACACGTAGGCCAGCAGATAAACTGTGAGGCAGGACATAAAAACCTTCTTGGATGCATACACACTCGTAATAGCCTACATGGCGAAAGGGCGCCATTTTGTCTGGTCAAAGGCAAATTCGTAAAGGACACAGCAGCACACTAGTTCATTGGATTCTGTTCCAATCTGCAAAAGGGCCATTCTTGCTGGACCTTTGTTGCATCTAAACGCCAAGGTAGGGATGCCATTTGGGGAGGCAGACCACAAATGTCCCTATGACAAGGATCAAATTTTGATGGTGCTTCCTTGATCAAAGGTAGACATATTGTAGAATGGAGTGCACATCTGAACTTGGAATTCATACACATGCTATGTGCACCAGGACGAAACAGACTGGTTGAAAAATGCATCCTGTTGGGTGCAAGAGCTGTCTGCTCAGAATAGACCAAGCTTGCCAGGTTGGTGATCAAAGTTATTCTCCTGCTTCATCTCATCCAGCCATGAATTCATTGTTGCAAACGATCACATGCAGTTGTTGTGCCAGGCTCGGTGCTGCACAGAGCAATGGAGGAAACAGCCCTGGTGAACTGACCCAAAAATCACTGGCATAACGTTCCCTACATTTCACAACAAGGAATATAGAAACCAATCTCCCATCATATCCGATTGATTGGTCCATGTATCAGAGAACAATAGAAAATGCAAAATACCTCTTGCACCCGCGCATTAACTAACTAGGTTTCTGGAAAATGCGCCCAGAACCCAGAACAACCAGGACCACAGCCCACTGTCAAACCATCAGCTGAGTACTCTACCAACAGTGATGCCCGCCTGTTGAAAGACACCAAATGTCACCCATTCGAATTCCCCGTCTTACAGAGATCCAATGCAAAACAATTCCAGCCAATCCCATGGGGTAATCAAGACCGGGAAATGTCCTACCAATTCGGTGAAGGCGGCAGGACGATCTCCTCCGTCGCGCGCATCTTCAAGGGCCCCGCCTCGCCCGAGCGGCCGCGCCGATGACTCTGGGGCGGTCCGGACAGTTCGCGGGGCGTTGGGCAGTCCGCGGGGCCGCCGCGCCGCCAGCGGGCGCTTCCACAGAGGAGGGCAGTTTGTGGGCGCCAGGCTGTGCGCTGACAGCGCCAATGCTGACGCCAAGGACGGGGGCGCTGCTGTGTGAGAAGCCACATGGCAAGTGGGTCTCATGACGTAAACGCAGCAAGGTTCCTTGCTGGAGGTGCGCACAAACTACTGCGAAATATTCAATCCTTATGCACAATAACGTAACGCTTGGCTCTTTTTTCGCAGAGCAATAGCAAAAACGTAACGGTGTAAAGAAAGTGTGGAGCAGCTGAAACCGCAACGCGAGGGTCTTTGGACCGATGATGGCGTCTGGCGGCCCCAGATGCACGAGTCGCTGTGAACACAATTTGGCGGATAATTGGCCAACGTTTAGTACTTTATAGTACTTGGTTGTGCCACATTTTCCTGATAATGTGTCTGTGGCGGAGAAACGGGTTTTGAAGACCACGATGAGAAGCCCAAAAATAACGGCCCGTTGAAAAAACGCGGAGCAAAGATAGCAACGGTGAAATTTTCTGATACGAAAAGGTTGAATATTTCGCAGCCCTGCAGCGGGAGAAATTTTCGGCCTTCGGTGCGTCAGCAAAGAGTTGGGCCTGCTGCGCCGGCAAGTGCTGTGAATCAACAATTGTTGGGTGTTTCAGAAGGCCATCATGGTGGGGTTTGCTATGGTCGCCTGTCCCAGGATTGATGCAGTGAAGGCAACTAACGCCCTTGAGCCATGCGAGGCGGCCCACAGTACTGTGAGTACCAGGACAGTACTAATACATTCTTAGCCCGAAAACCCGCAGGAGCCGCCCAGAATCAGCACTGGGTGCCTTTTGCTCAGCTGGCCGTCCTCGACACTGATCTCAATAGCAATCGCGGTGGATGGTTTCTGCCACACACTGTGCTGCGCTAGCCACTCGTTTCGGAAGTCCGACGGGCGAGGCACGGATAATGAATTGAGGCAGGAAACGATTGTCGCCTGAAGAAAGCGCTTGCGTGGCATGTCGAGACGCACAGATGGCTCTTCCCGAAGAGCGCTTGGATTCAAACTACCGTTCCTGCATGAAACGTAGTCGTGGAGCACGACGGTCGGATTTTCAAACAGTCTTCGTGCTCCCTGTGCAGAATCAGTGAGATACTTTTGGAAGGGCGCACGCGCGGCTCGGTGTTTCCATCTCTTTAAGAAATGGACCATCCAATTGCGGATGTGCCCCTCCAAAAAGCGATATCGCTGGTTCTGCAAGGCAATCGTGGTTGCACGGTGAGTTTGCATCTCACTTCACTGCAACAAGATTGCCGCTCGCCAGCTTGCTAGGGATTATTTTATGCTAGGGATTAATTGGAATTCGTGCAATGTCCGAATTTGGACAATGCTCAATAGGCGCCGGCGCCGATTCTGCCAATTTACCGATTTTAGCAATTTGCAATTCAAGAGAAAGTGTATTTCGCGCAGTTCAACACCGTCTTGGGACTGTGTTGATTGCTGAAAAAATTGCATCATTGGTGTGAACTGCTTGGAAAGTGGGCCACATAATGTTACTTTAACCTTTTCCTGTGTTGTCATTTTCACTGACGCGTGCTTCGGTGCACCTTTACTTGAATGAACTTGAACCACACTCTGCTGGTATTATCATGGGCACATTAATGTTGAGCACAATAACGGGGACAGTAGAATCATTTGCGCAGCAGAGTAGCAGCTCCAGCAATCGCATTATTCAGTGTACCGTGTCCCTTACAATGTCTGGCTATAGCGCAGGGTACGCGTGCACATTTTCAGCTGTATACGCAGGTATATCCAGGTATCTTCCGCCCTGGAAGAGTCATGGAGGATTTGGAATATGAACTGCAAGCCAGCTTCACCAGTCCGGGAAGGAAGATTGTTAATAACCACCAGGAAACATTGGCTGGGGTGGTTAGCTGTAGTGAGCAATGCGCTCGGGGAAGTCGGCATCCCTCGAGCGACCAATCTCGTTCGAAATGGTTTCACTCCATTTCGAGTGCCGCTCAAGCGTCAATGCGATGACCAAATTTCTTGTCACCCTTGAGCAAACAAGGCTCGCCTCGTCGCACGTCCTCCTGGCCCAGGCCGTTGCAGAGTCAACTCGGTCAGAGTGGAGCCAGAGGTGTTTTCCAACATAGCCGGTGGCTGCACCTTGGTACACGTGCCTGGGGAGAGGCTCACAATTAGGTGCGACTTTCGTCACTGACTTGCTTCAGTTTTGAGGAAGTGTCTGCGCGCTTGCGCATTCTGTGAGGTGGATGCGTGGCAGTGCTTCCGGTGCTTGGGTAGATTCAGGGTCCCCGTGTCGAAACCCATCGCTTGGTTCTGCTTCCCTTATGCACAATAGCGCCCTCGAAATACCGACATCGTGGTGTTTGTCCGAAACTGCAGCCTCTTTCCTAGTTTAAACTTGGAAATGAGCCACCTGAGCTAGCGAAGAGACGGCGATGCCGGCAACGCTCTAGAGCAGCCATTAGGCGCCGTTGAATGATTTCTTTTGAGCTCGACGCCACGCAAAATCTACACAACCACAAGGCGAAAAAAGCTCTTCCCGAGCAATAAGCGACAAGGAAACGAGTACGTGTCGTACTTTGGGTCCGTTGGCGCAGTCTCCGACACTGGGGGCGACAAAAAGTACAACATAAGGTAAAACTACAGAAGATGCACGGAAAGAAGTAAATGTGAAAGTATGAGTACGGCAATACAACACTGCTGTGCAATTGTATTTAGACCGCCCCCACGCACTTCGCTGCTGCCCCGCGTTGTTCTCCACACCCCAAGCCTCCTCGCCCGCGCCCCTCCATGGCCTCCAGCCCCGGGCGAGCCCAAGAGGTGCGCCGCCGGCGCCGCGGCTTTCCCCATCTCGGCGCACTGACGCCCCATGCCGTTGCTCCCAGGAACACACGAAACCGACACGATCGTTCAGCCCAATTTCACCCTCCGATCCCACCGGCCCCCCTGGCCGATCTCGCCGACAGCAGTGCGGCAGCCGTGCGCTCGCCGCACCTGCAGGCTAATCGTCAATCCACCTCCTCCGAATCGTGCCCTGGAATCCATCCCACGCTTCCGCGCCCACAAATCCCTTCTCATAGATCCCCACCGCCCCTGAAATCCCCTCTGCGCGGCTGGCCGGATCAAAATGGCATCGCCGGGGTCTCTGGCCGCATCGCTGGCGCTCATCTTCTCGACACTGATCCCGTGGCCGGCTGCGGGGCAGGCTGCATGGATCGGTCCCAGCGTGTTACCCGCAGATCTTCCGACCTACGAGCGGGCGCGCAACGCCAACGGGATGAACCGCACGCTGTGGGGAGCGCTGCGGCCGCCGCTGCCAACGAACGCCTGGTGGGGCAACCTGGTGTACGAGGAGGGGATGCAGACGCTGGCGCCGTTGCCCTACCTCATGCGCGCGACCAACCGGGGCGTGGTGGTGTGCTACCCGTCGGCCATCGCCGAGCACAACTTCGTGTCCAGCCACTTCCTGGAGGTTGGTGAGGCGCCACGAGCGTTCGTCCTGTTTTTTGCATTCGGTTCCATTCGGTCTTGTAAGCTATACAAGCTCGACTAGAATCGCGTACATCATCGTATTGCTGTTACTGAATAAGCATCGTCAAGGTCGTCGTATTACTACTGCTTTTATGCTGTAACCATCGCCATCCATATTATCACAAACAGAATTCTGATCCCATGCCTCTGGACGACGCTAGTCAGTCGGAAAGCGTCATGCTTTGCAGTGATCGCACGAGCAACGACTTGCATCCCGTTTTGATCGAGCCTGAATGCCGACCGGAGTTGACACTGCGCAGTGCAAATAACGGTGATGCTGACAGGATGCCGTTGGAGGTCGGTGGATCGGATTGAAATTCCGCGCTGGCCAAAGTTGAATAAGGTGCAAAGTTGGCAATCAGCTTTGGCAAGGGACATGTTTTGCCATTTCATGAAAAGAAATATGCATCTGAATCAAGCTGAATCGCCTCCGGGGACTGCACAGCCCCATGCAGCATGGCAGGGGACGTTATTCTGACTCTTCTCTGTGTCGCCTCTCAGGACATCCAAATGGAGATATTGGAAGAGGTGATAGCGCGCAATCTACTGCACTACGACCCCATGACCGTCTCTATGCGTTGGCAGACGGTGCTGCGCGAGGGAGCCAGCGGCACGATGAAGGCCCATGTGGCACGAGGCTCGCCCTACGCCACCTTTACCTTCAACAGCGTGACACCGACCATCAAAAGCCGGTTCGCATTCGTTAGCCCCCTACAGGTAACGCCGGCGAACACCAGCGAAACGTGTTGCGCAGTTCCGTCCTTGAGCGAAGGTCTATCAACAGCCGTTATGCAGCGGCGTGACATGCTATCACATGACGTCAAAGAAAGACGAGAACGAGCCTGGCCATCATAATCTTGGGTTCATTCTTTCTCCAATGGAGTCCCAAACCAGTAAAGATGAAAAGAGCGCTAAGGCGCTCAAGGGCGTCCTACTTATGAGCAACATGTGCTGATTGTCTCACTACTGAATAGCATAGAGGAGCAACCTATAGATGCGCTCGCAGCTGTGATGCGCGAAACAAGCAGGAGTTGCTGGCACCAGTGCCAGACAAAATGGGTTTATAGCATGAGAAGTACACTGTGCTGTGACTCCCTAGCTTCGAGAATGGATATCATTGGTCGCATAGAATTTCTCCGTCGCCTCATTGTGCTCTCACACTTCGACGGCTTTCGCCGACCACGCTCCAGGTGGAGCAAACGGGCACCAAATTCCGGCTGGAGCTGAACGACGGCCAGGTCTGGCTCATCTACACCTCGGCGCCCCTCACCCTGGCCTTCGGCGACCACTCGAGCCCCATCGTCGCCCGATCGCCGTTCACCGGATCCATGCGAATCGCGCGCCTCCTGAACGCCACCCATGAGGCGGTCCTGGACGCTCACAGCGACGTATACGCAATCGGCAGCGACGTTCAAATGGCTGGGCTCGACGAAGACTCGGCGGCACTTCGGTTCACCTTCGACACGGCTTCTATGAGCGGGCGCGGGCGCGGGAGCCTGCTGACTTTGGCGTTACCTCACCATGACGATTTTCGAGTTACGGGGGAGGGCGTGGCGTTGGATGGGGCGTACCGGTCGATCAAGGGGCCCATGAAGGGTGTGGTGGGGGACGTGTGGGACATGCGTGTGGAGATGCCGGATATCGGTTGGACCTCACCGCGGCCCATAGATGAAGACAAGGTGCGCCCGCAATATGGTGCTCTGTGAACGCTGGCGTTGGTGTGCGCACGTCACATTCAATAAGCGACACGATGTTCTCATTTAACTATTCAGTTGTTCGAACAACTGCAAAAACGCGCATTGAATTCAATGCGCAAATATGCACTTTGGCGCAGGTGTACACACACTTGTTCCAATGTCTGTGCAATGGTGTGCGCACACAAGCGCGCAAGCAGGCTTGCAATTTAATTAATTGCGTGGCAACGTCAGTGCAGTATAGGAACCAGTTTTCCATGCAGCTAAATGCATGCATAGTTAATTAGCAACGGAGCGAAGAGCACTGTACATCTAGCAATATCCCTGCATGGAGAACGTCTTCGTTTGAATTAATACCAGCAAGAAAGCTTATATGTTATGTGATCTATGAAACACAATCTGACGCAGGCTCGACCTTGAATTCCTAGGTGTTGAGGTTCAGTGTTTTTTCCGCCATGTCGATGCCATATGCCTGAAAATATGCTGAAAATTTTCGACTCCTCCAACTGTCATCAGCAATTCATTTATTGAAGTGCCACATTTATTGCGTCTTGATTTCATGATGTTGGACCAGAGCACATATGTCGAATTCATCGGATCTTGGGGCTCTGCAACCGACAGCTGAGCTGAGGGATCGGATGCGCCAAGCCCCAGCATTGCCTTGTTATAGCACTCAACAGCAAAATATGCCTCTCGCGACGTCTTTCCGTGTTGGCCCACGGTGCTGTGTGCAATGGCATTTTGCGCCGCCTTATCTTGCCGATCAAAATGAGTCGCTCTTTCGGGATGCGTTTATCACTTATCCATGTGGCAAAAAGTTTAGAAAGAAGAGGAGATGACCAAGGAGAACTTGGCATATGACATCTTTTACGGAATCTTCTGTGAAGTATATGATCGACTGATGAATAGTATCGCGGCAAACTCGCCGATATATACTTCCTCCGTCCCATATTAGTTGTCGTCTTTTTGACAGAGAAATCTCGTCATGAAAATGGCATCCAAATTGCAAATGGAGGCCAGAATCGGAAATATTGGGTCTCAAAACCCTTATGTTCGAATTCTCAAAAAAAAATTTGGTCCTCACCCCTGTGAGCTGGTTCCCAAATTGCCTTGGCACGGTCCAAAATATGCGCGTTCAATTTCCGCGGTCTTGCAGGCCCCACTGGTTTGGGGGCGCTCCCGCGCCTAGGGGCTACAACGTCAATGGTTGCCACCATTGTGGCAAAGGATGGGGTCTGGCGCGTGGCATAGCACTTGCCCAACACACTCGAACATGTGTTAATCCTTGTTTCAGGTGGCCATCGTCACAGTGTTGACGATGCCAGAGATCGCCGGTTTCCTCGATCTCCGATGGGCGGACTTCCAACCAGCGGAAAGGCCAATGTAAACAACCTTGAAGCCTAGGCTCAGTGCGTTCTGTCGCTCCAAGGCTGTTTGGTAGCCCTGCTCGGATATTTCGCCTTAGTTGATGCTTGAATCGGGATTTGCGTGGGCTTCTATGCTGAAACTCCCAAAATTCTCATTGTTTGTGGATACAGTGGCCGATGCTTGTGCGCGGTACACAATCCATTGGAACCTAGCAAGACTCCATCATTCGAAAAGACCCAAATTCACTTTTGTGGCCATCCTCCTTGCACCCAATCCTCTGAAGTTCCGAAACAAGGACAAGTTGCTATTCCCGTGGCAATTGCCAATTCACTAACTGTTCGTGCTATATCAAGGTGATAGCCATCACCATATCTGGCTCCTTGTTAAAAGGATTGGGAGACCTCCCTCAGTTGCTTTGACGGTGGCAGAGGAGCTCGAGAAGCCCTGACCAAAAAAATCTGGGTCTGGAACATCACTCCGGCGCCCTAGATCAAACCCAAATTGATGCTGCGAGCCACGGCGAGTTCGAGCATCAATGCATTCGAAATTCGTTTTCTATCGCCGTACATCTTTGCAAGCACCCTAGTGACCTCCGCTCTGAACGGCATGAGTAGTTTTGCAAGGACGGTTTTGTTTCGCTGCCGCAAAGGAGTGCTCCTCAAAACAGCCAAAAACAGCTGTTCTCGGCGCAACGTCCAGAAATGACCCTTTTCTGTCCAGAGGAGCCTTGCTACAAAGTACTGTGAAGTCCTCAAAACTTAATGGATGGACTTGAAATTTTGATTGTACACTTCAACCTTCCAAGCACAGCTTTGGAAAGTTTTCATTCAAACCAATCCAGGCACGATGGATAAATAAAGTCTCAAAGTCATAGACCTCAATTAATATGGGACGGAAGAAGTATTAGACATGTTGGACTCGCCAATGCTGTCGAGACAGCGCTGGTCATCGCTTGGAACACACTCCCTCACAGCCGCACCCAGGCACAGCAGGCAGACCACAAAGAGATGGCTTAAGCGACAAGTTCTAGGTCAAGTACACAGTACTGTGTTGGACGCCAAGCCATGTTCTGTCTTACACTGTCACCGTCTCCATCTTTCATGTGCACCATGCACCCCATGCCTGCCATATGTCCTTGTATACATACAAGATGCTCAGAGACAGAGTATTCACACCCAGGTTGAGGACATTCGCGAAGCAGTGCACTCGGATCAGTTCGTCTTGCCCGTCTCTGTGGACGTCTACCAGTTCGCTCGGCAGGTGGCGGGGCTGGGCCGCGTGGCGCTGATCGCGGATGAAGTGGGGGAGACGCAAATCGCGGCAGACGTGCGTGAGCGCATGAAGGAGGTGCTGGAGCCGTGGTGCGTTGAGGTGGCACTCTCGTTTGCAATGTTCCGTTGGGCCTGGCAATGCTAGTCGCCAGGAATTTCCCACCCCGCACACTTCCATCGGTGAAGGAATAGTATTGGAATATTGGAGCCGTATTTAGTAGTTTGCAGCGTCGCATTAAGGACGGTGTTAGAGCGTGGTCAGGTAGTGCAATCATACCTGTTTGTGTTTTACAAGACTTTCCTAAACCTCTGACTTTGTATGCCATCATGATTATCAAGGTCTTGCGGGCAAATGAAGCACGCATTCTACTGCGGCGATGGCAAAGAATGCCCCATCCTATAAATGCTCTGTCTGGGCCTGTATCTGAATATTTCGGAACTTGGCGTTTGGGAAATCGGCCCTTTGGAAATGTAGAAGTGTTTGTGAAGTGGCAGTGGCACACGGCGTGCGTGATATGCCGACCAAGGTCTGCCACAAAGCCTCCGCGAAGGCATTGCCGCAACTTCGTAATTGGCACCAAAGACAGCCGGCATTGATGCAGGAGCGCTGCCCCCAGCGCTGTTCGCCATCGACCGATGACCCATTTGCATCAAGGTCATAAACTTGAGGGCCGCATCTCAAGTATACCCATTGGTTCAGCAAAGCACGTTCCTGAAAGGATGTAAGGCGTTCGAGCTCCTCGGCGAGACCGCCCCGTATCCCATAAGTACGATTGTATACGATTCTTTCATAAGAATTGATAGCAATTGTACGTACATAGTGCCAAGCCCTTTGCCTGCGATACCAGTTCCTGTGGCGATAACCCCGCTTCGTGTAAGTATTCACCAGAGCAATTTCCCTCAATACTTCCCCAGGTACGTGGGCACAAATGTGCACAAGCTTCTGTATGACGTGGACTGGGGCGGATTGGTGACGTGGCAGAGCCTGCAAGACCGCCAGCAAGACTTCGGCAGCGCCATGTACAACGACCACCATTACCAGGTGCATTGACTCAGCCATGCCACATCTTCGGTGTGAGGCATGGCCACATTTGTGAATGTGGCACATGTTTATAGAATGAAATGCAGTTTTTTATCATAATTTGGCACTTTTGAGTGCCTTGTCGACCTGGCTCACTTGTCTTTGAAGTGCAAGCTGTTTGTGAGCACGGTGTGCAGCAGAGAGGCAAATACCGAAACGGACCTGTCTGCAAGTGATGAACAACGAAACCCGACATTCCTGAGCAATTTCAAATCATCCATGGATCCGCGCATTGGCCAATCGCCGCTTTTAACTGCGCTGGGCGCACTTTCAAGCAAATGCGATGCCCCTACAGCACTCAGGCAAAACTCAGTCCGCATCACATTTCCCTGCACTGGATTTCCCTCCAAGCCAAAACTGGGAACAATTGCGCGAGTTCTCGCCCATCTTGATACAAACCTCGCACCGCACGCAGAAGCAAAACAGATGAAGTCACTTGACGCGAGAGCGCATTTTGCACGTTCAGTGAAATTCTCGGTGTCTGGTATTTGCAGTACGGGTACCTAACCTACGCGGCGGCCGTCATCGCCAAGGAGGACAAGCGCTGGCTGGACTCCCACCGCCAGAAAGTCCTGGAGCTGGTCCGCGACTACGCTAACCCCAACCGCGCCGACCGCTACTATCCCTTCGCCCGCCACTTCGACTTCTACCTGGCCCACAGCTGGGCGGGCGGCCTGTGGGTCTTCGACGCGGGGCGCAACCAGGAGTCCTCATCCGAGGCCGTGAACGCCTACTACGCTCTATACCTTTTGGGATCCGCCATGGAAGACAAGCAGCTAGGGGACTGGGGACGAATACTCATGTCCATGGAGCTGGCGGCCGCCCAGAAATACTGGCACATCCCCAGCTCCTCCGCAATCTATCCTGCCCCCTTTTCGGCAACCAAGATTGTGGGCATTTTGTGGTCCACGCGGGTGGACTACTCCACGTGGTTCGGCCTCAATGTGGAATACATACACTGCATACAGTACTTACCGTTCACGCCGCTCACCGAGGTGTTGTTGGACGCGGGGTGGATGGAAGAGGACTATCCCGTGGTGGCCGCAGCGCTGGGCCGGCCGGACCCGCCGCTGTCCGATTGGTGGCGCGGGTACATCGTCATGGCGCACGCCATCATAGACAGGGAGGCCGCCTGGAAAGAGGCAGCCACCCTGGAAAGCTTCGACCTGGGCAGCACGCGGGCCAACGTGCTGTACTGGATCGCCACGCGGCCGAGCCAGGGGGCCCCGCCCGGGACCCCGAGCCCCGCACTAGCCGTGAGCGCGCCCCAAGGGCCCGTGGTTGGGCTTCAGGGGCCCGTGGGTGGTCGTCAAGAGCCCGTGGGTGGATCTCAAGTGCCCGGGGGTGGGCCTCAAAGACCATTGGTTGGGTCTCAAGGGGCCGTGAGAGGGCGGGGGGTGGTGGCGGGGGAGGAGATGGCGGTGGATGGCTGCAGGCAGTGCTCCTGCAAGTGCGACTGCAGCGAGGTGGGCGCGGGAGAGAGGGAGGAGGAGTGCAGGTGCGCGTGCCGGTGCAGGAGGGTCGAGGGAAGGTCGGACTACTGCTTGGCGATCTAGGTAGTTGTTGACACAGGCGGGGACGCCAAGCAGGGAATTCGTGGGAGGGATGTCAATTCTTTCGTTTTGCTGTTCTTTTGGCTTGATTGCAGTCTTTGAAGGCTGGCGTATTCTAGAAGCGAACGAGGTGCTCCTGTTGGGCACAGTGGTCTTGGGGAGCTCCAGGAAGCTGGGCCGATTCTCCTTCGGGAAAATTGATATAAGTTTTCGCGCTTTACAGTATTTTTTAATGTAATTTCCATGCACTGCTCCTGCCACGGGACCCGTGCTTCTGAGGAGACCCACGTCGCAAAACAGTTGCGAGAATCAAGTTGCCAATTATGCCATTTTCAGGCATTTCGAGCGTGAAGTTCACCCAGAAACGTATTGGGGTTTCGTCTGCGGGTCTGCACCCCATGTACTGCCCATTGGCAGTTTCTGAGCGTGGTTATTTTCACTTTTCGCTCATATTTGAGACTTCCCATGCCAAAGCTTTGAATTTTTAATGATTCTGGTGTTGTGCTACGCAATCAGCAGCCATCTGTTGGTCCAATCCCACTCATCCATATCAGTAACAGCATGGCCAATGGCCAAGTCAGCCATTACAGGACTGGAACTGACGAGAGGTGGTAGGTGGATGGGATGTTGGCTGGTGAGGGTGGTGAAGGGGTGAGGAGGGGCAGGATGAGGAGGTTCCGTGGCACAGTTAAGACCAGTTCCGCGATAGCAACTCAGCAACTGACATTTAAATCTACCACTTTGGACGCAAAACACCCCAGAACTCGCAAGACTTGCTGCAATGATGGCCGATCAGCCACAGAGGGAATCTGGCTAAGGTCTGGAGCTGGGAAGGTATTGCTGGGTCGAATATGTTCCGAGCAAGTTGGCGTTCGAAATGGTACTCAGGTGGGTACAGGATGTCCCATTTCTTTGCAACCGGCGAGCCAGATCTGCCCACACGGAAAACCAAATTCGTTCTGGAAGAGTGGTCTTCAGCAAACTTTCCTGCAAGCAGTCATCAGACTCACCCCGTGGCTGCTTCAACTCTGCCGCCCCAAGCTGGCGCGTGACGAGCCCACACCGGCTGGTCATTCGCGTTGCCTATCTCGCCTTACCGGAAAATATACCTGACGCCACTTGGATTTCTCACAAGTCCTGCAAGTTGGAACGGCTGCCCTCGGTCAGTTCACCCAGAGTGGCGGTCCCACTGGTGGGGTGGATGTCTGCAACAGTACTGGTATCCAAAACCAATTCTCTTATTGGTGCCTGCCTCGATGTATCCCGCTGGACCATGAAAGGCCGCTTGCACGCCCATCAGCAAGCGTGGTATACCAACACGGAAAGGGATTTCGGCTGCACCTGCGTCGTTTGGCGTGTGTCGCGTGCCTCCACGTCCCCGCGAGATGGGTTTTTCATTCACAATTCCATCCTGCTGCGGCACCTCATGCTGTCGACTTGGTGCGCTCCGTGTTTGCAAAAGGGAAAAGAAATGGTCACCGCCAGTGTCCTAGCGGCGACGGGACCGTGTTTCTCTAGCGCGATGAACATTTAGATGGAGATGACCAAGGAGAATTGGGAGCCACAACTCGTGACCTGAGAAGAGTGGAATTGAACTTCGGCAACCTGGCCACAGGAAACACAAGGACCTGGCAACGCACGCCCCTCCGACTGCGGATAGTATCCGCCGGATACCATTTCAAATTGTTGGCCGTGGATATGAAAATCCCGCCAAAACTCATGGGAGCAAGCAGAGAAACAAAACAATATGATGGCTGCCATTGCGGCAAACCGCAACAAGGAAATTAACGCCAATACAAACACATCAGCTGTGAAACTTGCCGGCAAACAATGCGCTTCTCCGCGCAGTGTGCATGCTTTCATGACATGACAGCCTACGGTTGCGCAATTCCAATACGGCATCTGATTCTCGCTACATTGCAGCGGGATGCGGAACACCTGTTCAAAATCTCGAGGGCATCCTGGATGAGCTCCCATCGGTAGTACACAGCCTCCATCGTGCCCCTCTCGTTTCAGTATCAGGTCTGATGTGGACCTCACTGGCAGTGTCGATGATGAGGGATGCCAGGATGTCGAGGGCGAGCAACACATGTGTTGCAGGGTGTACACCCTGCACGTGAAATGCTACGAAGTACAAGCGAAGCCCAACGGCTGGTGACGGCCACGCATCCCTCCACCATCACTTCCCATATGTTCGCCACAAGCATGACCAGCAGGGTGGTGCAGCCGCTCCACAGACCATTAAAACTGAGGGTGATGAAATCGTAGAAGTGATCCAGGAAGGCAAAATCAGGAGCCTTTCCCTTCAGTATGTCGTAGCACTTGCTGTAATAATCCCGATTGATCCGCCCGCCGAAAATGTGCATCCCCGGCGCCGAGCACAAGAGCATGATGGGTAACAGCGCCTTGAGGAAGCGCCCGGGACCAGCATACAGCCGAATGCGGTCCCGATCTCCTTGAAGCTCTCGATTCTTTCAAGAAACCTTGAAGCTCGTTTTTCAACAATTTTGCACTGCCTCAATGAGCATGGTGTGAAATGGGCACCAGTGCGCCAATTTTGGTGTTCTTTGCCACCAGTGTGCAAACAGCACCCTAAGCAGACAAACCTCGAGGGAGGCCATAATGATGCATATGCAGGGTATGGCACTCAACGCCAGGAAAATGTGTCTTGCCCTGAATATGTACATCCAGGTTAGTCAACTTTCTCCCGATGCATGGTCGACGAGTGCCCAAGCACTTAAGCTCGGAAATTCTGAACAGGTCACTCCCTTCCGCTCATTACAGAAGACGCTATTTGGAACTTCGTGCGCTTAGAATCAAGTGCCGGCGAGACAGGAGGGCAGGGATCGAGGTCAATAACTCTAAGAGATTGTGTAATTGCACCAAATCAAAACAGGCCAAGAAGAGGTTGAAACCGCTGGGAAGCGATCATGGAAACACATGCAAAGTGCGACATAGGTTTCCGATGTCTGCAAGGAACACAACTGACCGTTTTTCTACTTGCTGAAGCAGTGCACCAATTTCTTAGAAAAGAAAATGCCAACAGAACCACTCCATTCCCCATGCTGTAATTGCAACCCTACTCACACAAAAGCTAGGCACCTGCTGGCGAAGCGCACCTGTGCATGGCTGCAGCCCCTGCTCAGGCTCATTATTTACAGCATAAATACTCGCGAATTTACGCACTTTTGAGCACAGAAACATTATTTTGCATTGTCACAGGCAAATAGGCGTAAAAACGGGCCTTGTGTACATCAAGACAGAACATACGTACTCCGGGAGTCAAGAGAGTGGCAGCCAGGTGCGCTGAAGCGGGCAGAAACCGGCCTTTTGTTCGATAACGTCGTTGCCCTTCCCGATGGCTGTGTGGACGCCGGGTTGCGGGTATTACGCTTGTTATTGCGCTTGCGACACCATTTTGATGTTTTACATTTTTGCACGCGAACATGCATAAAAAGAAAAGCAGCCATTCTCACGGCCATATTTACGCTTTTTACGGCTCGTCGGTACAACCAGTTTACATGATGATGTCCCAAATAATGATCAGACAGCCAGCATAATGGCCAATGGACTTTTACGATGAAACAAATTATGAAAAGTCTCATGTGATGGACCATTATTGGCAGTTGCTTATAGGTACCCCTATTGTATTTGCGTCAATTGCCAGAGCTTTGCATGCGAAAGAACTTGAGCCACTGCCAAGGAGATTAGGGATCCTCCACGAATCCGGAACCACACATGTGAACCCATGGCGTGCAGCGCAGGATACACTTCCGACCGCAGTCGCAACAGCACACAAGTATGCAAACAACATGCAGCACCCGCACTGCCCCATCCCATCCTCAAGAACAGCACCCAGTCCCTAACACTTGTAGTTAGGCCTACCAGACTCCGTGCTCAGTTCCCGCCTGTCGCCCACTGTCCGAGGCTATCGCTTCAAATAGAGCGCCTGTGAGGACCAAGGTTTCCATGCACGGTATGGCCACAATCGTGGCCATGATGGCTTGCAACGCATCAGCCCCAGACGTTTAAGTGAAGCTCCAGCAATCGCCAGACACTCTGGCTCAAACGACACCACCTGGCGAACACGGACGCCAGCCAAACACAGCTGCATGCCGGTGCCCTCGCCCCTCAGAAGACAGCGTTTCACAGAAACCTGCCTTTCGAATTCGCAATTCGCGATTCCGAAAAATTTCGAGAACCCAACGTCAGCAAGACTGCGTCAACGTCACGTACTGGACACGCGCCAGCGCCTTGGCCACAAACCACGTGGCGGCTCTTGTTCAAAACATCCTGGGGAAGAAATGGCATGGAAATTCGACGCATGGGGCAACGCCAAACATCGGGCGTATATCGCCAATCTGTGCTCTTGAGCCAAGGCGCACCGAACCCAGTGCGTTCCGAAACGTGCAAGGTGCGGAAGGTGAGATTTAATGGAACCATGCACAGTCATGGAGAATGCGACCGTGAAGAAAAACATCAGCTTGCATCCGTTGCCATGAGGGCCCGCCTACTTCACTCCTTCGCTCCATGACGTAGCAACAGGCCAGCAACACTTTGCTCATGTTTTCGCCAGGAAGGGGATTCAGCGTCCAGCTGCAGCGCGCTCTGTCCAGCCTAATCATGAAACGCGTAGGAAATTGTAAGGCATCAATTCCAAATCAATTCCAGCATGGGCAGCACACAAAGCGCAATTTGCAATTGTTGAAGAGCAGTGATATGACAATAATTCCAATTCGCAATGACACCACAACAGATGGTCAGGTTGACAACATAGAATGCAATCTTTTGCATGCAGGATGCCGACACATCAGATGGCGAGGACTGCACGCCATTCTGTTGCCCTTTGTTCGTAAACCAAGAATTGTCAACGCAAAGCCGGGCATCGGACACGCATCCATGGAGCCGATGATGGCAAAGCAAAATAACAAATTAATAAAAAAACAATTAACAAATCTAGAAAGCAGCGAACTGGACCTGCACGGCCAGCTGATTTATCGAACTGCACGTCCGAGTTTGTGGTTTATGGACTTTCCCAATACTCCAGTTGACCACCATTACGCTGAAAGATTATGGCCGAACCCCAAAACAAAAGAACGAGAGGAACTGATACAGTGTCATGATTTCGATTTCACTTGACGAGGACACACAAGGCCAGAATATCAGCAGGCACAGCACCTTGTTCCTGTGGTTGAAGTCTGCACCGGCAGTCAAAAGCTTCTCTAGGACAGCTCCCTCGCGCCAATGGGCAGCGAGCAGCAGCGGCGTGTTTCCTTCCTGTGCATGGGACAGAAACTCGGGATTAGTGTGTCACTGCAACTACTGTCGATATCTCGAAGATAAGGCAGACTCCAAATTCACCAACAGTACACTCTCCTCTTCAGTCCGACTGTAATTTCAACGGCAATGCGTGTTGACCGTTGATGGGACATCGGTAGTGGCGCTGCCAACAGGGTTTATGTTCGACTTCGCTTGGACTACGGTGAGCCCCACATGGGACTAGGTTTCTTTCCCACTGAGCGTGGACATGATGAAGCTGCAATTTGGTCGATTGTGGTCCTCAGGGCCCCAACTACATGCCATTGATGTTGTTAAACTGAATGGCTTCTACCAAAAAATGCAGTGGCGTCCTGCCGAGCTGCGCACCAAGTGATCGATCGGGCACTCACTGGGTGGCTGAAATATGCAGGAGTTGTTATCCTTAACCACAAAAACTAGGCAGCCTAAAAATCCTACTATGCAGTGCACAGGTTGCGAGACCAAGCCATACCACTGATGCTGATTAATGCATAAGGGCAATTCGGAAATTCCAATCCACAGATTTTATGTGACAGGAATTCATTCCAACAAACGTGCCAATGCTCCAACTGGTCGTAACACGCATAGGCGGGAAGTTGTGAGTTTGCGGGAGCAGCATTGGCCAGGTGCTCACCCTGTCAACTCCTTCGAGCGACGCCCCTCGTCCAAGAAGCATCTCTACCGTTGCCGTGTGGCCATTTATTGCGGCGTAATGCAGTGGCGTCAAGCCGAACTGCGCACCAAGTGATCAATCGGGCACTCACTGGCTGGTTCAAATACGCAAGAGTTGTGATCCTTAACCACAAACACTAGGCAGCATAAAAATCCTACAATGCAGTGCACAGGCTGCCAGAACAAGCCAAACCACTGATGCTGATTAATGCATAGGGGCAATTCGGAAATTCCAATCCGTAGATTTTACGTGACAGGAATTCATTCCAACAAATGCGTCCATGCTCCAACTGGTCGTCACACGCATAGGCGGGAAGTTGTGAGTTTGTGGGAGCAGCATTGGCCAGGTCCTCACCCTATCAACTCCTTTGAGCGACGCCCCTCGTCCAAGAAGCACCTCTGCCGTTGCCGTGTGGCCATTTATTGCTGCGCAATGCAGTGGCGTCATGCCGAGCTGCGCACCAAGTGATCGATCGGGCACTCACTGGACGGCTGAAATATGCAAGAGTTGTGATCCTTAACCACAAACACTAGGCAGCATAAAAATCCTCCAATGCAGTGCACAGGCTGCCAGATCAAGCCACACCACTGATGCTGATTAATGCATAAGGGCAATTTGGAAATTCCGATACGTAGATTATACGTGACAGGAAGTCATTCCAACAAATGCGTCCATGCTCCAACTGGTCGTAACACGCATAGGCGGGAAGTTGTGAGTTTGTGGGAGCAGCATTGGCCAGGTGCTCACCCTATCAACTCCTTCGAGCGACGCCCCTCGTCCAATAAGCATCTCTGCCATTGCCGTGTGGCCACCCATTGCTGCCCAATGCAGTGGCGTCCTGCCAGCCTGCGCACCAAGTGATCGATCGGGCACTCATTGGATGGCTCAAATATGCAAGACTTGTGATCCTTAACCACAAACACTAGGCAGCCTAAAAGTCCTCCAATGCAGTGTACACGCTGCCAGATCAAGCCATACCACTGATGCTGATTAATGCATAAGGGCAATTCGGAAATTCCATTCGGTAGATTTTACGTGACAGCAATTCATTCCAACAAATGCGTCCATGCTCCAACTGGTCGTCACACGCATAGGCAGGAAGTTTTTGAGTTTGTGGGAGCAGCATTGGTCAGGTGCTCACCACGTCACCTCCTTCGAGCGACGCCCCTTGTCCAAGAAGCATCTCTGCCATTGCCGTGTGGTCACCCATTGCTGCGTGATGCAGTGGTGTTGTGCCGCCCTGCACACCAAGTGATCGATCGGGCACTCACTGGGTGGCTGAAATATGGGCACTCTCTTGTTATGTGGCACAGGTCTTACTTGCCTTGTGTTAGGAGGAGTTTGGCACCTGGACACAGAATTGTAGTGCAATCTTTTGGAAAAAAGGGAAGGTGGGTCGCAGCAAAAAAGACCAGTCCAGTATATGGAGTGCTTCACCACTGTTGGGTAAAGGTGCCAAAATCCAGAGAGGGATAGAAACATCCGATAAAAACGACCACGTACAGTCTTCAAATGATTAAGAGCCGGAGTTGTACCTTGTCTAGTACGTCCACCTCCGATTCCCTCAGGCTGAATTCTACCATATCCATAAGGCCGTGCTGAGCTGCCCAATGCAGGGGTGTTTCCCTCAACTGCAACGCACAAGTGACATATTCAGCAAGGGCTTTCAACTGCAAAAACTGCATGCCATTAACACCATTTTTACCTCACAACGGCTGCTGAATACAGCACTGGTTTGTTTCAAATTCAATTGCTATCGCAGAAATATCTTCGATGCACAACCTTTGGACAACCCTAATAAACAGATAACTGCAAATCCACACCGGCTGTTATTGGAATGCATTGGTTTCATCTAGTAATAACATTGCATCTGTGATACTGTGCAAGACAATGCATTCAGTTATAGGAGCAATTCCACATATCACACCATCCACAAAAAGCAGAAAATACTAGACAGAATTAAAATGTGAGGCATTAGAACATGGCCTGGAGTGGGCAGGTAACCAAAGCGATGCAAAAATGGGACAATGGCAAAGGTACATAGCTGCAATGCATTTCTCCATGCCACAGCCATAGCCGTAGCCATTGCCGGCTCTGGAGTCTGTCCCTCCTCTGTGGGCCCCAATCTGTGTGCTTGCAGGCATCTTTTCAAACTGCGGCCCATCAACATGTCTCACAGGCCACTTCCTTGCCATCCAAGAAGATTGCCATGACAGGCCATGATAGCAGATGGCAGGATGCAATGCGAATTTGGTTCCCATGTCGCCATGCTTTGAGCACATTTCAATCACGTTGACGAGATTCCCACAGCAGGTATCTTTGCTCTCCGGCTGATGCAGGCTGATGCAATGTTGCCGCCCAAGTCTCACTTCATTGCACCACCCTGGAGTGCTTCATTGCAAACGCGATATACATTTCAATGCCACAAACAGGACAAGAAACTGGGACGTGAAGGTCGTGCATAAATGACATGAAAACCTCCAGTGCCCCTTGAACTGGGTGTGCAGTTTCAGCAGCACAAGGCTAGGTTCTAGCACACATTTGTGCTACAACCCAAGACAGGTGTGCGATCCTGCACGCCAACAATTCATATCGCTTGGGGCAAATGAATTCCAATGTAACAGCAACAAGGCGAGGCAGTTTGGGCCAATATTTCTTGTGGCAGTGCTCTATCCACTGTGGCGCTTTCCTTGTCTATTCACGTCAGCATTCACTACCAACATTGTCTCGTTGTTTTTTCAATAAATCACTACTAAACTGTGACAGCTGAAATGCAGCCTGGCCTGTGACTCACCATTCCCCTTCTTTTCTCGCATTCCCTTGTCATCTCCCTCTCCACCTCCACCCCATTGGCACACAACTGTGCAGCAAGCTCAGCAGCAATCTCACAGCCCTCAGGAAGTCCCAAAACCTCCAGACAATCCAGCATCTCAACAAATGCAGGTAACTCCAGTTGGCTGCCTTGGAGCCGCAGAAACCTCAGCTCTGGGCAGCCATCAGCAATACCGCCAGGCAGGCAGTCCAGGTTGAGGCATCCTTGAGCATCCAGTTCCTCTAGGTTGCTCAACAATGTCACCGAATCTGGGATTTCAGCAAGGCTGTCGCATCCGTGCAGAATCAACACCTTCAGCTCTTCCAGGCAGCCAAGGGATGCTGGCAAATGAGTCAACCGCCAACAACCTCCCAAGTTAAGAGCTGTCAGGCTTGTCAACTCCCAAAGGCTGGGAGGTAGCTGCTTCAGTCCAGTATTGCTGGCCAAGTCCAGCACTGACAACTTGTGTAAAACCTGTGCTTCGCCCGGACAAAACTGCAGAATTCCGCCTTTTGGCAGCAGAAGTTTTGTCAGATTTGACAGTTCCCAAAAGGAGTTTGGAAGGTTGTACACACTCCTGCAATCCCTCATAGACAGCACCTCCAGTTGGCTCATTGCGCCCACTTCCTCTGGAAGACCTTCCAACATGTCGCAACCATCCACTCGCAGCAGCTTGGCAGATTGGAGGCACGCAATCTGCGGCGGTAGCTTTGTCACACCAGAAGATGACAGGTCCAGCACAACCAGCGAGGGGACTAGTATGGAGGCAGGCAACTCGGCAATTCTGGCATTTCTCAGGAGCAAGATCTGCAACATTGACATGTCCACAGCCTCAAGACCCAAAGCCTGGGCATCGTCCAGGCTCTGGCTGGCAGAAAACTTGGTGCAGGAGAATGTCCTCTCAATGCCAGCAGTGCCCATCAAATGTGAGGACACCAGTCTGTTTCGCCCTGCCAGTGGTGCCACATCCATCAACTTCAATGCATTGTCGCGGATCACATCATGCAGGTGGTAATGCACGGCATCACCACATTGAAACTCAGCAGTGTCCATGAGCTCCTCCCCTGTCTGTATGATCAGCGACTTGCCTGCCAGGGCCCTCAGCACTTTTCGCGCGCTGTGCTCATCCTCACATGTGCCAGAGTGCACCTGCCACTCCACCACATCAGCCTCGCTCACGTAATGATCTTCGGGCAGCATGACCAAATCCAACAACACTGACTGGTGCTGCTTCTCAAGGTTGTCGAAGCTCAAGCAGAAGACACGGTCAAACACTTCTGAATGGCCAATACCGCGCCCTTTCAACTCCTTGGCTATTGTCGCCCATCTCTCCCTCTCGAAACGTGTTGGCATCCGGTTTCCACCCTCCTTGTAGGTCCTCACTTCCCTTCCAATGACTTCCAGTGCAAGGGGAAGACCCTCACACTCTTGAACAATATCCCTCACATGTCGTTCTTGCCACCTTGATGGTTTGCCACTATCAAAAGCACACTTGCAGAACAACTCATGGCCTTCTTCAAAGTTCAGAGGTTCCACATCATAGGCACTGGCCTGGACACAATCGCCCACTTCAGCAATCCTTGTTGTAATGAGCACCCTGCTGCCCATCGACACGACATCAAGGTGCTTCAAAACACCCTTCTCCCAGACGTCGTCCAGCACCAGAAGCACAGACTCGTCCTTCAAGACAGCTCTCAGAATCCTGCTGAAATCTTCGTCATTTAGATAAATCACCTTTTTTTCGTCATCGACAAAGGCATCCTGTATCCTCTTCAGGCAGTTTTCAACCTTCGGATTTTGGCCAATCGTCATAAACAGTATCTTGGACCCAAACTTGGCCTGAACGTGGTAGTCGTTGACTGTTGCCTCCGCCAAAGTGGTTTTGCCACTTCCGCCCATTCCCTGCAACACCACGTGTTTCCTGTCACCCTTGAGCAGCTTGTCCCTTACGGCAGCCACCTTTTCGTCCAAAGCCACTGCATCAGGGCGATTGGGAATGATGGCTAAACGGCCCGATATTGACCTGGTACGCTGCAGAAGGCGATCGACCTTTCCTTCCACTAGCTTGACCGTCCTATGCATGCGGTCTGTTTGAGTGCTGTTCAGACGTCGATCACACTCGTCAACGACCTGCAAGACTGACTGCGGCCCTGAGTTCGTTTGCCAAAAGGCATCATTCAACCTACAGATGTTCCCTTTGCTCTGAAACTGCTCCAGCGCCCTTGCAGCCTTCTCTATGAACTGCATCAAGCCCTCGAGCACAGCCATGTAGCCTTCGTCATTTTGTTGACAGGCGTCCCACAAACCCTGCATTATTCGCCTGCCAACCTCCAACAGCCGAGAGTGCGCAGATGCAACCCCCTCCACCTCTTCCCTCTCTCTGGAAGCCACCTCGAGCACAAATCCCAGCAGCTGCAGGGCGGCGCCCACAAATGGCACAGCTCCTCCCACCTCCTTACTGAACAGCGCAGTTGTCCGAAGGGCACGGACAGCCGCCCCAGCCCTATCCACGGCAAGCTTGGCCATCCCCAGATTCGCTGAACTGAAAATTTCCGTTCCTGCACCTCCCTCCTGCCCCTTTCCTTCTTCCTCTTGCCCCAACTGCAGCGTTTGTATCATGTTAGACCACGCCTGCACTCGCAGCCCAAGAATACGCACCCAGTCGGCCGTTTTCTCAGGGGAGCCCGCTCTAAACTTTTGCCATGCTTCCTTATGCTTCACAACCCACACGCAGTCGCCAGGGGTGCTGCACCTTTGTTTCTCCACGAACCAGCCCGATGTGTTTGGCCCCATGCCACGCCTTCCTCTCTGTGGGGCACTCTCCTCCGGACGTTGCCCTCTTCCACCAGAGGTCGACCTGGGCCAGCAAGAAGACATCCATCCAATCGCATTTCTTTGGAGACCATCTTTGAACCTTCTCTGCCACGGGAGCCAAAAGGCCGGGCAGCGAATCGAGCGTGATCATGCTGCCAGCCTGCGCCTGGGCCATTGCACATGCTCTTCAGATGAAAAATAGCCAAGAGGGAATGCGTGACAGCGGATCCATTATTTTTAGGGCAGCAACGACGATAGAGCTACAGGCAGGGGCCGCGCCAAGGCTCAGCATCTAACACGCTAATCCAGCAGTACCAAGATCCGACATTTCGGGACACTAGCGCAAGAAGCCGGCAGCGCATTTGCCCGCATAGAATCGAGAACTTTAAGTGCCCAGTGACATATGCTCCGCTTGACGTTGGCCTCAACGAGTACCTGCAAATGGCGCGCAGCCAGGGCTGCGCCTGCCCTGACCTAACCTCAGAGTATCTCAGCACAGAGATAGCCGCCGTATCGCCCAGATCGCCACGGTCCACCGACATTGAAACGTGTGGAGATTTTCGCGTCAGCCGGTGGTCAATTGGAACTATTGCCATTCTCGGCGGTGAAGGTCGTCTTTGCACAGTAAAAGCAAACGCCTCATACAAGCCCCTTTATGAGCAACTACTCTGCAGGGCTCTCTTCCGGGCTGCAGAGGCTGACACAGCATGGCCCGAACGCAATCCAGGTGACACTCAGCTGCCCCTATTCATGAACATCCCCGTGCATGAGAGATGCGTTCATTTTACAACACCACAACCATTCGGCAGCAGCCACAGCGCTCTTTGGGAGCGTCGATCGCTTACCATGGTCGGCGGGCGGCCCGTCTCCCAGCCAAGCGGCCCCGCCAAGATGACAGGCCGACAGTGTCGGGCCACAAGACACGCCCCAGATGCTGAATGGTCAGGGTCGGCTGCCGCCAAGATGTCGATGCCAGGGCGCCTGATGCGTCGCCTGGAACGTTCTCAGGACACCTGCCTCCTGCAACAAGTGACCTGGAGGCGTCCCAGCAAAGAGCGCGGCCCTGGCAGTGCTCGCCAGGACATTGACCCCGGTCCCGCACGTGACGTAGGTCACCTTGGACCGCTGACCGCCATATTCACGCCCCAGTGGAAGCTGACGGGCATCCATCCAGAGCCGGATGTTTGGCACCAACCTCCGGAAGAAACATGGACACTGCTTTCTGGGCAAATGAGGAGATGATGCCAATTGCATGCCCCGCCGGACAGAAGCATGCGCATGACAAAGCGTTGGGTGCACGCATAGGTGGGGAAGTAGTGTGGACTACACCGCATGGTGGCTTGGTGGAGCAGTGGGCACCCGAGGCGATCCCGGCGAAGGCGTCGCCTTTCCGTCGACACCGGATGCAAGGGGGGCTGGGGTCCCAAGCGAAGTGGCCATCTGCCAACATCCTATGCGCTAGCGCATCTGAGGAGTGGGGGGCAACGCCTGTCAGTTATCTGGCGTGCTGAGTTAGTAGGTCCTGAGAGGATAAGTCGTCATCGAAAATGGTGCGGTATTGATCAAATGCATAGAAGGAAGGCAATTTTGTTCGATAGATAAGTTCATTGTCATCTGCAGCGGACCTGCCAAGGGCCTATGGGCTACTGTGGTATACCAAATTTGCGCACGTGCAACTTTGTGAGGGTGTGATGTTCGACCGAACTGCTGAGTACCTGTGCACTGCTTCATGTGCTAACAATCGGCGAGATGGATGCTGGAGTGCGTCGGACTATCAGGGCATACCGATACAACGGACGGAAGTTTCCTCATCGAAAACCAGAACAAAGGCGTCACTGGGGATCTCAGATTGAAAGCCAAACCCGTCCAAGCGTTGGCAACCAGAAGAAATTTGTGGCCTAAAGGGACACAAGACGCCCCAGGCACTTGCCCAGGGTTTTGGCCAAGAGCCAAAATCATGGGCCCGACGATGCAGCTCTCTGCCTACAAATGGTGCTGAAGTTCCCTCCTTGAAAATCCTGGTCTTTCTCGGTGATGATTGACTTGCATTTGGCAGTGGAGTCAGCACTGAACCAGTCGATGGCAGCCGGCTGCTCTTCGCTCCCTCTTTGAAAAGGGAAAAAGTTCCATGCAAGTACGCCTGGAGCTCACCGGTAGAAAACAACATGTTTGCGATGCCAGCCACGGTGCCATTTCGACACAAAATGACGCCGTCACAGTGACTGGGGTGGAACAAAAGCGGCTGCGATGGCATCAATTCTTGCCAAGTGGAGTCGCAAACAGACTGATTTCTACTGACGACTGCACCGAGGAGGTTGTTGCACTCCCAGATACCAGTACAATGCTGCCCACTTCATTGTTCACTTTCTCTTCCATTTGTCTTGTTAATCGGTATTCAAATCTCACTGGCTTCAAGAACACCAGATGTGACATTGATGCAGACCCGCATTGAATCAGGAATCCATCCTAGTTGTGTTGTACGGAATCATCGGGTCCTTTTGGCAATGCATGCTTCCAGTGACGTCACAACAATGGTGACAAAATGTGACTCACTGAGTTCAGAGAGATTAACAGCAGGTCTTCTGAGATGTTGCTAGTACTTGATGCGGGCCCAAGCAGATGTGTACATCGCAAGTGCGAGTAAGTCAAGCTGTGCACAATACACGCAGCAGCTCAGGCGACGGAACTTTGGAGTCCAGTATACTGCCCTTGCTTACTTGTGAGTTGAGTAAAGCACTGCGTGCGGCAATCTCCTAAGACATACTCTGTGCAGCATTTTTACTACAATCATGCGTTTTGGCTTCATTGGCACAGTGTGTGGTGTACCAAAATGTAGTAACAACATAATGGCATTGACATTCAGCAGCTTGTTTGGCATCAGAACACACATTGCTCTGAGTGAAGTGACACTGTCACCATTGTATGGAGCTGCAACAGCACCTCCAATCTTGCCCATTCCAATATGTGATGGGATTTCTTAATACGGAATACTTCCAATGACAGGATTGTCAGTTTGAACACCTCACAGCACATTGGTGGCCACAGACAACACCAGGAGAAAACGGCATGTTTGCGATGCAAATTGTGATGCCATTTGACACAAATTGATGCCATCACGGCCGCTTTTATGCCACCGCAATCACCGTGACGGCATCACTTTGTGTCAAAATGGTGTCGCAGTTGGCATCGCAAACATCCCGTTTTCTGCAAGTGCAACCGTCCCTGAAACTTAGTGACGAGGTCTGCACCCAACACAGCTGCCGCTGCAGATTAACTTACGGCACATGCATTTCCAAGACGATGGCGGGCACCAAAATATACGCGCGTTTTGTATACGTATATTTTGTATATTTCGTATATGTGTACATGACATAAGCATTGCAATATATTGCATCGCGCCATCGCTTGTTCCTTGCTACTTTTTTGCGGCCCCTTGTCAGGCCCAGCACTGACTGGGCAGTCACTTCGTTCGAAAGCCAACAACGCCTTCTGGTCGGATTTGGCCCAAGCGTTTCCACGTGATGCTGATGACCACAAATTTGTGGCCATCATGGGGCGTTGTCTGGCCAAACGGGTCACCGCTGGTGCCACATGACCGTCCATGTCACCCCGTGTACAGCGTCATCTCAAATTTGCACTACGCCGTAAGACATTCGTGAAATTTTTCAAGATGTTCTGACGCTGTGTCACCTTACCCTCATTGTGTATTGTACACCAATAGTAATGACTATGTCATAATCGCAACTTGCCAGAGTTCCTTAGCCATCCCGCCCGGCGGGCCGGGTGGCCATCTTCGCAATTGAATGAGTGTGGCGATGGGCCAGCGTGGCACAAGCAGCCGTTGATCGCGCTCAGCCGCAGCCCCATATTGGTCGCAACCGTCCCGGAGAATGAAATAACGAACAGCTCGAAGACTTTTTTCTATTCTCGTGCACAATTTTTTTTGCACCAAACTGAACTTATATTCAGAATCGTGGACTGCACTCACAATTCACTCACGTCTAAAACGTTTGCTATACCACAGCATCAACATTAGTAAGAACGAAGCTGATCGCTGCGCAGCCGTCTTCCCGCCATCTTGTCTAGGTCGATGGGCGCATCCGTCAGGCACCACATGGCGGCTTGCTTACGGGACATGGTAGCTGCGGATTCCGTGGTGTCAGACTTTCACTTCGTTAATCCAGCTCGAAATTGTGTTTTCACTTTTATCACTGAGTTTCACAGCACATTGGTGTTGAGCCACCGAGCAATCGAAGTTATGGAGACTGGAAAGCTGCAAGTAGAATGTCAAGAAAAAGAGGCTGCCTTTCAATTAAAACATTTATCAACCAAAGAAGTGTTCTCAGGTGTCATCACTGAAATCCAATCATCGGAGTACAAATCGGCAATTGACGGAACCAGCTTGATGGTCAATCACAGTAATCCGAAAAGTCAAAATTGCAAAGGCAATTGGTTCCCCAAATAATGTTCGCCTGATCGCAGCCTAGGTAATTCAACGACAGTAATTTCTATGCGATCCCAAGTCCGTCGCCACCGCTGCAACGCCACCACGCCCGTATGCTGCGCTTCACACCGCTGCCACGACACATCTAGCATGTATTTAGACAAAGACGGCAGTGGGCGACGGTAAATGTTAACGTGCATGATGTGCAGTACAATGCAATGCAACGTGCGACACAACGTAGTGATTGCCGCAAGCACCGCGTTAATCGCTGAAACGATATGTTCATAGTCATGCGCGTTTGCAAACATCACAGTACACAGGTGCCATGTGCAAATTCGGCCTTTAAGGCGGCCGGTATCACGGTCAGTGGACTTTTTGCAGCGAAAGTATTGACTAGAACTCTCTTGTGATGGTTCGCATGATGTCTAAATGACTCAGCTTGGCCCCAATAACGCCGTGTCGTTGGCACTGAGGGGGGATGGGAGCGACATAGGTATCCCCATCGTACTTGCATCAATTGCAAGAATATTGCGTGCGAGACTATTTGAGCCCCGTTCAAAGTAACGAAATTGATTATACTTTTAATGGATTTCTGCCAAGGGTGATCCTGTGTCGGGTG